GGATTTAAATTTTCTTTGCAAGGATGCAGCTTTGATTCTTCAATGAAACGGGCTTTCACTGCGGAAATAACAGGAGGTTAGACCTGAGTGCTATCTGAGGTGGATAATGACCTGGCATACGGTAACAAGGGTCAAAGCATTCACACCAGAAAGTGTATTGTTCCTGAATGCAATGAGCCAAACAAGGCACCCTCACAGCCTCCTCTCAACCTTTAACCAGCAACGCCGCCCACGATACGAATTTTCCTGCCGCGCAATAGAAAGAATCACACTTTCATATTGGCTTGGATCAAAATGTTTATCAAAATGTCTTGCGATCACTGACTTTGTGTGCTGCCGTTTAGGTGCCCTACTTTGAGGGTGGGGGTTCGAATCCCGGATTGGACTCAGCCCCCAACAAGTACTAGAATCTGTATTTTACTGAGAAAGAGTAATCCTAAATATATCATGTTGCATTGACCAAGTTCTTCAAGGCATTGGGCTTTCAAAACGTTACTCCTCACGAAAACAGCCTCGAAAAACGCCCAAAACACAATTTCGATACTTCAAACTTCTAATAACCATTTATTAATCCTTTCAGTTATAGCCGCAATCAAGATTTATTGTAGACTTTCTTTACCCGACTATATATACCCGTTTTTCTATAACAATGGCAACGGCAGATAGACGATGGCCTTGGTAGAAATGAGATGGTTACAGACATTCTTAAATGTACAACGCAACAATGGCTTACTTAGGGCTGGAAAGGCTTGCGAAGTATACGGAATTCGAGACAACCAACAAAGTAAAATTCCGAGAACCAAACATTAGTTATGAAAGATTATCACATGTAATATTGTCCTTGGATCATAATACCATTGATATATGCTTATACATACGAATAATACATTCACTAATCCCTGCTCTGATCGAGTAATCAAGGGAATGCTTGCTTTATACAGACATGTGGAGCTTCCTATACGTTTGAAACAACCGGAAATTAGACACATCTTGTTGGACACGATGATGTTACACTGTCTATAGCAAGTATATCATATCACTATAACGACAGAAAAATCATCAAATATATATCCATATCCATCAACTAGTAGACAGTCGAAGATCCGGGTTAGAATTTATCTTCAGTAACCCATGCTTGTCGTAAGAGGCGACAAAGGGGATCGGATGGTCAGGCTCGCTGACTTGGTTGACACACGTCAACGCATCCCAAATGCGTAGATCGATGCTCATGCTATTGCTCACTGGATTGTCTGGTCCAGACTCGAGTATTTACAGACCGCCGCCATATACCTGGAATATTGCTGAGTGCAGCGTTAAACAACAAACCAACCAACCATCAACTTTACTCCGATTTGCACAAATTTGAACATGAATCGGAGCTAGACACACCTGGACTCTGAAATATGTGTGTAACGAATGGTGAGTAGGATTTCTATACTGCACATTAGGCAATGAATATCATGGACGGCATTTGCCCCACCGCAATGAAAAGACATTTGTGCATTAGGAAAAACAACAACAAAAAACATGTGCCTCGTCAGGAAACGATTCTTCTTACTGCAAAGTAGCATCTGATGACCAGTAGCCATACTGTTTAATGCGTCTCCACCATATGGCATCAAAGTTACAGAACTGCGTCTTTCAAGTGCGTGTGATCATGTATATGGAAGATGGTCTCAGGAATGACTGTAAATCTAGCGGAAATTGCTGGGCGGGTTTGACTTTATGGGATGTGACCTTTGGTCGCGGATTGTAATCTAAGTACACTTCTTGGCCAAGACAAGATTTAGGAAAAGCTGCTTTTACTGGGGAGCTTAGACAAAGCAATCCACTATTAGTCACTTAATTGCACTATATTTCTGCCGCGGAAGGAACAATAAGTAGTTTTCGAATGCAGTTAACGGCGGCATGAGACAAATCTCACGAGATCTCGTTGAAGAAACGTGAGTTCATCAACCACTGCGTCTTCCTTAAAACGCATTCTGGGGTTAACTACATTAAAATGCTTTTAAATTTCTGGCCGTCTTTGAAAGTACTAATTACCCTCCAACCCTACTTGTTTTCCCGGCCTTCATCAGTTTGCAGACTTCCGTTCTTAAGGCATATCCGACACGATTAAAAGACGAGTTAGTGCCAGATTAATTATTATCAGTTTGAGAAGAGATTATTTTCTCGAGGCGATGTCCGCAAGAAGTGCTGGCACACCAAGGCTAATTAAAGGCGTCAGTCTGACAAGAAACCCAGTTTCCCGCCAGCAGTGGAAATAACTTGCTTCACATGAAGTCACAACGTTACCGATACGTTTGAGATTTCACTCGGAGATTCTGTTGACTTAATCAGTCGCTAGGAAGGTAGTATCACATCGTGATAGGGCTTGTGAACAGCGTCGACAACAGAGGAGTACCTCGGAGGAGGATCAAGTGATGACACCTCTACAAAGCGGGACTGGAGGCATTCTGAAGGTCATACAACCATACAAGAAGATCATCTCTAATAAATGCGAGGACTGTATAAACAAATTAACACAGATAATATCATGGAAGCTTGCGATGTTTTGCGCTTTCGTCAACTTTGTTTGAAGATTTCATTTTCTTGGAAGGCGTATTATCACTGTGATGATAAGAGACAGTAAGAGCATTCGCTTTGCGTTGGGAAAGAGCAGCTAGACCTTTTTCAGATGGAATCTTCGCATTGATGTTCGGTGTTTATTGTTGATATTTTCTGAGGACGTAGCTTTGGGGATTTTCGAAAGTAATCGTCAAACTGTGAATTGGTTTGAGCGTTTTTCAGCTTTGGTCTTTAAGGAAGCAAACACGATCAGTCAACGGATTTATGAATTTCTTTCAAAAATCTCTTATGATATCACCGTCAGCGACTCTCGTAAGATGACAAAATTGCGTTTCTCATTACGAGGCGATACATGCGTATTAAAATACACTGTGGGAGATTTTAGTTGAAACATCGATAATGCAAAAGAAATGTGATGTGAAATAATACAGAATTTACTTGATTCGGACGCATGGATTATGGATCATGAAAATACAGACAAATTATGAATCATTCTGTTGCTAAACGCATGCCATTTTGTAGCTATCGAATCTTTGAATTATTTACCATGAGAAAATATTGTTCTGTAACACAAAGTGAGGGAGTAGCCTGGAACTGTACGTATAGGTAATATAGGTCCTTGATTAGAGCGTCTCTTGTTTTATGCCGCAGTGAGAAATAATCCAGGTGTTTGGAACAGTGAGTGAGTGAGTATGGTTTTGCGCCACTTTTAGCAATATTCCAGCAATATCACCGCGGGGAACACCAGAAATGGGCTTCACACATTGTACCCATGTGGGGAATCGAGCCCGGGTCTTCGGCGTGACGAACGGACGCTTTAACCACTAGGCTACCCCACCGCCCCTGTCTGGAACAGACACACAAGAGTGAGTATTGTTTTACGCCGCTTTTAGCAATATTTCAGCAATATTACGGTCTCACACATTGTACACATGTTGGAAATCGAACCCAGGTCTTCGGGTGACGAGCGAAAGCTTTAACCACTAGGCTAACTCAGTTTTAGATCTAGAACAATAAATCACAACACAATTGTCAGTTGCTGGGTCAGAGAGGTGATAGGACGTCTCCGTCGAACCACTGGTCACTCCATGCCAAAACACGTTAAAAGATACAACTTGTTGTTACCGTTCCTGGTGTTGGGAGACAAGTATTGTTCTGTTTGGGTATAGTATATTGTGTGTGAGTTGGTTAAACATGTAAAACTGGGGTATGGTACCTCAGTAGTATGCGGACAGTATGAAACCGGCACAATCAACCACACAGAGACACAGATACACGCACAGACAATGGCAGAGGGGTGGTGAGGTAGCCTAGTGGTTAAAGCGTTCGCTTGTCACGGAGAAGACCCGGGTTCGATTCCCCACATGGGTACACTGTGCGTAGCCCATTTCTGGTGTCCCCGCTGTGATATTGCTGGAATATTGCTAAAAGCGGCGTAAAACCAAACTCACAAAGGCAGATACACAAATAGACGGACACAAAGGCACACACTAACACACAAACACACACTAACACACAAACACACACATACACAGTATTGTAATTGCACCTTTCCAGTTATATCATCTCGTCAGAATGTTCCCGAAAAAGAGATTTTGGTTTTCGTCCCCTCGCCCTTTAAGAATCAAGGTATGTGATATACAATCTCAAATTACCAGAAGCCATATCCTTCTCCCTTGCACTTCAGAATTACCTCAAATGCGATTTGTAGCAACACAGCGGAAATGGGACCGGAAAGACGCTATGATGTCACTGTAGGGAGCTTGCGTGTAACACTACTATTACCTTACACGTAGCACGCACTGCTTAGAGTTCAAATCGATCACTTGCACTTCAAGAAATACACTCATATAGACACTTTCTCCTGAGACACATGGCGCAATACGATAAACACTCTCAATACAGAAAACAAACAACAAGCATTGTCAGTGGCCGTTGAAACATCCGGTTGCCCACGGGGATGAGCCAGTAATTAATCCATATTCTACGCTGGACCATCGCTGCAGATGTGCATCAATGCCACTGAGAAAACCCCACTTAGACAAGGGAATAGACATACATATATTTATTGAAATATAGTTATCTATGAGTGAGTATGATTTTACGCCGCTTTGAGCAATATTCAAGCAATGGCAGAAATGGGCTTCACATATTTTACCAATGTGGGAAATCGAACCCGGGTCTTCGGCGTGACGAGCGAACGCTCTAACCACTAGGCTACCCCACGGCCCCTATAATTATTTATGAGGTAACTCAATATTATGTTGTGTATAATGTTTGAATAAATGGGTATAGGTGTGCTGTTGAAGCTGTGAGCCTTTAGCTCAGTCACAAACTTTACCTCAGTCACAAACTTTACCTCAGTCACAAACTTTACCTCAGTCACAAACCACGTATAATGTCATATAATCCAGCACTATGGGTTCATAAAGAAACTAGTGAGTGAGTGGGTTTCATACTAAGAAAGGTAGGATACTCTATAGATAACAACGTCTTTATTATATTATAATAATAACAAAGAATTTGTTATCCAGTATCATAAAGTATCATATCTTTCTTATTGTTCATGAACTTCTAAAATGCCAATTAAATAGATATAACTCAGTCTGGAAGCAGTAGTATTGACTGACTGAGTATGGTTTTACGCCGCTTTTAGCAATATTCCAGCAATATCACGGCGGGGGACACCAGAAATGGGCTTCACTCATTGTACCAATGTTGGGAATCGAACCCGGGTCCTCGGTGTGACGAGCGAACGCTTTAACCACTAGGCTACCCCACCGCCCGGGGAGTGACAGTAAGTCTATTCTCGCCAAAACTCGCTGCCCAGTCGTCTATGGTAATCATCAGAGAGAATGACTTTCGGGCTTTGCTCCCACATTAAACAGGCACACCGTGATATAACTCAGTCTGGAAGCAGTATGAGGCAGTATGAAGCAGTATAAAAATGTCATTCGCAACAGCACAGTTGTGTAAGACACGTTGTTTCTGTCTGGCTTTAGGTAGTGGTATCAGCATCGCTGGTTGTGTCCCGAGGTTACGCACAAATCGTGTGGTAGTGGGTGCGAATCCTGGTTAGTCACGATTATGTTTCTACATTTTTGGTTTCCTTGCTTTTGATTTTCATCTGAGTGGTCAACGCCTGCTACCGACATCACATCGGCCTTTCCTCACACATTAAACTGACGCGTCGTGTTATAACTGGAATACTGTTATTTTAACATTCACTATCTTTACATTTGCTAACAACTGGCATAAAAATATCCATAAATCTAAAGCGTCTTTCGGGTTCGATTCCCCATGGGTACAATGTGGGCGGTTTCTGATGGTAGCCTAGTGGTTAAAAAGCTGGAATATTCACTACTTTCCCTTTGCTTCAGCAAGAAATACCGAAATTTGTAAGCCCAGATCTGTGAAATAGACCAAATGTGTTATTTATCTGTTAAAAAGCCGACCGGATTGATTTTTTCGCGTTTGATGCTGATTTCATTACGTTAAATGTGAGAGATATATACGATTATGGGAAATGAGAGCCAGCAAGAAAATTTATGATTATTTTTTTTAAAAATCGATCTTTGTTTATTGGAATTAAATACAAGAGAGGCTTCAACAGATTACTTTAATTACAGTTAATTTCCTGGTTTCCATAACAACGGAAACGTACTCTCATAATAGTCAAATATGGGCGCCATATTTCCTGATTTATTTGTCTGACACTAAATGTCTCCACGCTCACCGACAGATGGCGTGGTAAAGTTATTGCGAATGTCAGATGGCAGGGCGGGTAATGGGACAATATTTTATTCGTGGAGAGTGTTTCTGAACTGTCGTTGGATACGTTACTACACACTTCACGCTACCTGTAGTGCTCGAGCTGTCCTGGAATAATTCAATGAACAGGTTAACAATGATTTAACTGATAACAGATGGGATTGAACATTTAAGTTACACCAGGTTACATCAGCGAGTGAACGCGATGATAGCGTTCGTTCTAGTGCGATGTCAATGATGATGAAACCCACGAGTAAAAGAAAGTATACACTCGAAAACTGGTTTTGACGGATAATTTGAAAATCCCATCCAAGTGAGTGAGTGACTTTAGTTTTACGCCGCACTCAGCAATATTCCAGCTATATGGCGGCCGTCTGTAAATAATCGAGTGATCCAGTGATTAACAGCATGAACATCGATCTACGAAATTGGGATACGATAACAAGTGTCAACCAAGTCAGCGAGTCTGACCCTCCGATCCCGTTAGTCGATTCTTACGACAAGCATTGGTTACTGAAGACCAATTCTTACCAGGAAAATCTCACCCATACGTTACTTGGAAACTATCAAACTGGAGGTTCAACACATAGATTTGATGACCGTGTTAAATACATGACCATTGAGGAACCATTTCTTGTTTCTTGTTTATACTTTCATTTGATGAAAGTGGAGACAAAATAATATCGTTAACTACTTTTATAACGAACACGCTTACCGGTATATCGAACGGACGTATTTAACGAACTAGGTTTGGTCCCTCCTACTAGCGGTATTCATAGTCGCAACTACGAACTACGCTGGTAACGAACTAAAGTTCGTGGTCATTTTAAGTTCGTTATAACCGTAATTCACTGTTGGTAAGTTTATCAGCTTTCAGCAATGTGTTTCAAATACGTTGAGCGCTTTCCGAATGTGTGTGGAAGTCAGCTGGACAGCTGACTGTGCACCTTTGGTGTCCGGCTAAACGTATAATTCTCTCGAAGTGAAAAGTGGACCATGCGTATTCCTCTCTTGGTCATTATTTTGCTTTTGTGTCGAACTTCGGATAACTCGAAGTATTTACGTAGGTGCCTTCAAGTTCGACACAACGCTGTGACTGTTATGAAGTAGATTTACATCTTTTTCTCGTATTTTCTTTGTACATGTATGTTAACTCAGATTCATCTTCCAGAGCACTGAGTCAGTATAGAAGTTACTGTGCACGCCCAATCACAGTTTTACTTTGGTGAATTTCGGCTTTTACCATTATTGATAACCCGAATTCGTATTCAATGTATATTCAAACATGTTCCATAGAATTCAGAAGTTTAAATGCCCATTTTGTTATAAATGATCTGAATCAGACAATACGGTTGTTTTTTTCCGAAGAGATAATCGTTATTGATGCTGATTCACGAACAACGACGAATACGTGCCTAAGGTGGACTCTACTTAATTCAATTTCGGACATGTATCATTGAGAATATAAACAGAAAGACCCAACGATCAATGACGTGTACAACGTCATCAATCAATGCAGCAACTGTACCAAAACCATTCTGAATCAACGATTTGTCAACATTTTTTTCATTTTTAAAAATACACCGTTATCCGTACATTCCCGTTGATAACACGTGTGTCAATGCGATTAGTTGACTCACTTTATTTTCTGCTTTTTACCGTTATAGACATCGAATTAATAGCGTAAGTAATCACTGTAAGCCTTTAACATCGTGTTCATTTTCAATGAGAGCCGTTCCCACGTGTCCAGACTGCTAGACGCCAAACGTTCTCCTGGCAAGAAAATCAGTTACGGAGAGACGAAAATAATTATAGAAATCGACAGAGGTGAAGTAAGCGCACTATATCTTAATTTAACTACTTAAGAGATTAGGTATAATCGTTGCTGCAACCAAATTGTTTCCTTTTACAGTTAAAGGATCATTTCCTATAGAAAAAGACAAATATTGATATTCCTGCAGTGTTTAACGTAAACGATTGGCATGTTCTATTCGTAATTAGGCTGAAATAGCAATCCCCTTTTCTGAAATTGACATGTAATCAGTGAAATGTATATCTTGCCTCGTTCTGATCTCAGACGTCGGAAGTGTTCGTTACGACGTTAGTAGACCATTTATCTCAATACAAGCAGAAGATAGGGACTAAATGGCGAATATATTTTGGAATCACTCGCTCGTACACCTGTTGCTGGAAAACACGATCCCATTGTTTTGAGAAATAAATATGTGTGTTTTGATGTGTCAGCATTCTTCAACGATCCTAACTGCTAATGTCTGACTTAGTAGAGTAAATGACATTTCAAAGAATCGCCTGAAGTAGCTGAATTAAATGTGTTGAGACGCCACGTCCTCATTGACCGCTGATGACATTAAAGATCACCGTGTCTATTTTTGAAAGCTGTGTTGTCAAACAAAATATGACATGAACAAACTACAAGTAATAAAACCCGTTTCATATTTATTATTAATATTTCTTGTCGAGGGCAGAGTGGATTGTACAACAAATATTCAGAGACCATATGCGTTAAGGAATCAATATCAAATATTGATAATACCCGATGACCGCGGCAAGGTAATTGTATCTTACCCATTTCTTCTCATCTCGCTTTTGGAAACGTGTATTTGTTTGACTATTATAGGGAAACGAAGGATGTCTTTTTAAATTTAAATAACAATGCAACATTTGTGTTTACCCCACTCACTCACACTAATGAAATGAATTGAAATTCTCTTTTTCAATATGTACATTTTAATTTCATTATCCCTTTAATATTTGAATACATCTAGCATTACGATGAAATGGATGGTTAACGAAGCCTATAAATCCATGTGATTTACCGTTCGCCCCAAAATCAGAATTTCATATAATTCCCAAAATGTTATATTAAATGTTTTTAAGATGGCCATCTTGTAATCCTAATGATGGAACTAATCGCCAAACAAAAACGAATTACAATATTTCTCCAATTTGTTTCAGTTATACATTCTAATCTTTGCTTGGGGCAACATGCAGGGTCCCTGATTCAGCAGTGGAACAAATCACTACGATAATGAAGAATCGTGATAAAATTTAAAATTAAAATTGAGAACCCTGTGATAGTTTGTATGCACGCCACGGGCAAAGCGATACTAACACGCACTTCATGGGATTGTGCTTCCGAATTGAGAAATAGCTCCAGCTAATAGATCGGCCAGTGAAATCCATTAATTCTTCGGCTGCCACTGCTTGTGCAGTGGTGTAGGGTCGTCTAAAGATTGTGTGGGCACATTGTTTAATGTATTGCTCGTCGGGTGTAACGTATAGGTAAATCGTGGTCGGGGGATGGACCTATGATCTGAGTAGATACATTCGCCTGAACCACCGCTGGTACTTTTAATTTTTCATCTTACAATGGAGTCAAAGTTAATTTCTTTGTGGTCAGTCATCAGTTGCTTTTAAGCTCTCAGTGAAACAGTTTTGGTGATGAAAAGGTGACCCATATCACGGTGACTGTCTGGGGAAGTAGTGAAGGTTTAGGGTTAGCTCACGGTTTGAGTGAATATTGCTTAACATTGCTTCAAGAAGTTTGCACCTATTCACAGCTATTCGCCGCAAACTCTCGGTCGGAGACTCCCTTGGACACGTTTTCTGTATAGGTGAGGTGAGGTGAGGTGAGGTGAGGTGAGGTGAAATT